TCATCATCATCATCAGAATGAGGTCGCCTGCTTCTATTTTAAATTGTGCCAGTTAGACCCATCAGTACAGTCTTAGGTTCTAGTATGGTTGCCTTCAATTCAAGGCTTTTGCAGTTGGTTTGTTCTGTATCCTGTGCTACCTGCCCATGAGAAGGAGAGGACAAAGTTTGCTTTTATCATTCTTGGGTTGTTGTTGCTGTCTGTTTTGAACTGCCTGGCTTGCCTTGATATGAGATTTCTTTGCAGAGGTCCTACTGGTTATTTGTGCTTTTAGTACTATGATTAAAACAAAAAGAGTTTGACAGTCAACAAGAACCCTTAAGCCAGGAAAACCAGTCTAATGCTTAGGATAAGTACATGGGCTTCCTTTGAGCAGTGTTGATGGACCACTAATTGCCTGTCCGTTACGAGGTGTATCACAAGATACCACTGTGCTTTATCTGCCTTCAAGTTCTCAGCCAGGGCTTTTAAGGTTTGTTATCTTGCACAATTCTAAAAAATAGCACACAAAAACTGGCTTTCAAGCTTTCTCTTTAAAATGATATTTCATCATTGAAATATGACTGATACAGGATCCTGATACTCAGTTAAAATTGCTGTACTATAAAGAGTGATAGTATGATACTATAAGAAACAGAAAATGGAAGCACGGTGGTTGTATTAACTACAGCCTCAGAAACTATAGATGATCCTTGACTTATGACCACAATTGAGCCCAACATTTCCATGGTAAAGCAAGACAGTTGTTAAGTGCATTTTGCCCCTGTTTAGGATCTTCCTTGCCACAGTTATTGAACGAATCACTGCATTTGTTCAAGGCGATCATTCAGTGAATCTGTTTCCCATTCATTTTGGTTGTTAAAAGGTTGCCACGGGTGATCACATGACCTTGGGGGCAGTGCAACCATCAGAAATACATGCTAGTTGACAAGCATCTGAATTTTGATCATCAACGGTCATAACTCTGAAAAATGGCCATAAGTCACTTTTTTCAGTGCCGTGTAACTTTGAACAGTCACTAAACAAACAGTTGTAAGGCAAGGACTACTTGTACAGCAAACTAATCAGTGGATAGAAAATGTTTGAAAATATTTAGCAACTCCTGCTTCCATAAGCAGATTGATGCTCTAGACCAAATTCTGTTGCTGATGGCCATCAATTGCTCAAGTTTTTTTTTAAATAATGCTTGATCTGCTTCTTGGTTGTTATTGGTGAACCAATGGAATACACCTTTTTTGTTTTGCTTCAAAGAATTGCCAAGAAAATGCTTTTAGAAGAAATCAAAGCCAATCTTTCCTCAGAGGAGGATGCTTCTTCTGATGAAGAATCCAATGATGGGAAGAAAAAGAAAGGAAGGCAAGCCAAAAACATAAATAACAGTGGTAAGCACCTGACAGAAAAACAAATATTTGAATGCACTTTCATATCAAAGTGCATTATAACAGTTCCTCAATAGCATATTATTCGCCATAACCAGCCAAACATTAAATGGTAAATGATGGCGAATCTATTATTAGATTAATTCCAAGATACGGGGGTGGTTCCTAGCTTGGCTGCTTCATAAAAGGCTTGGAAGAATTCATAAGGATCATGGAAGTCGGGGGGGGCTGCCTCTGAAGCCCTTCGGCCTGGAAACGAGTGGGCTCCTTGTGCCGTTGGTTGGCCAGACCCCTGGACTCTAGAGCAGCATTCTCAACCAGCGCAGCACTGCTTCGGTTCTGAATATGCCACTGAAGCTTTTCCCCGAGGATTTTTATTTATCCGCAAAATTAAGTCTTTGGATTCCATGTTACCTCCTCTCCCCAGCATCATTGGATGGATGGAGCCCAAATGCTCAAATGAATTGAGGGGTTGGTTGGCGAAGGGTAACCAAAAAGCTATTTTACCACTTAAATGTGACTTGTTGAACAACACTAGTAAAAATAAATGATTTGTTCAGTGCTTGTTCCAGAGACTGTTGTAATTGCAGTTAATTCACTATTATGTTGATATAAATCTGACAATGATATAAACTAGAAGAATTTGTGCATGTAAGGTTTTTTTTAATGTTTTTTGTTTTCCTGCAACAGGAGAGAATGAACAAGAAGAGGAGTTTGACTCGGATTCAGATGCCGAAGAGGCCAAGAAACCGAGATACAGGCACCGTTTGTTAAGGCACAAATTAACCATGAGTGATGGAGAGTCCGAGGAAGAGAAAGGGGGAAAATCTAAAGAGGCAAAAGAAGTTAAACGCAGAAATAGGAGGAAGGGTATTAAGTCTGTTTATATTGATGTGTGTGTGAACTAACAAGAGCTCTGTTGGCTTAATTATTTTATTACACGTTTACTGTTAAGGATGCATAATGAAATCTCACTCCTTTACAGCTGCTTTAAATGTGGCCCAAGCGATTGGATGTGTCTAGAACAATTTCTTTAATCACTAAATCTTATCCCTGTTTTCCTATTTCATTAAAAAAAACACTCTTATGTGAAGTAGATAGTTTACTGGTGGTCCTTGCTTAGTAATTATTCATTCAGGGACCATTTGAAGGTACAATGGCACTGATTAAATGGTAGTTACGGTAGAAGGTCCTCAACGTTATGGCCATTGCAGGGCCTCCTATAGTCATGTGCCACTATTTGGGTTCTGGGCGGCGTGTCCAGATTTACAAGTGTAGCCCCCTCCCCCCCCCATCTCTTCCCATATGGCTTCCCTGCACTCCAGCATCACTGCTTCTCCCTGCCTCCCCCAACCCTCTTCTTCCTTCCCTTGCTGATGAGAGGCTCAGGGAATTCTGATCAGCAAGATTGCAACAGACAAGAATTCCATTTTGGCTGTTCCAACTTGCACACTTAATGGTTTAGATAGAACCGTCACATTTATAGCTAGACGAGATTCAGGGAAGCTTTTCTTTCAAATGAATCTGGATCAAACCCATCATGAAGCATAGGTAAACATCCTCCTGTGTCAAAGATTCTGTCTACCACATGCTTTGTCCTCTGAGGTCCTTTCGTTCTCCGTTTCTAATAATTCATGACACCCTCATTTGGAGCCTATGCTGTTTTCAAGACCTCGCCTTTCTCCTTCTGCATCACTATGGAATAAACCGGAATGCCTTGCAGAAGTGGCTATTGGTGGCAATCAAACTCAGCAGGAAAGATATCAAAAATATCCATCCTTCCAATCAGCGATTCTCTCTTTTTATGTACCTGTGAGCAAAAATTATTCCAGGGACAAGAATGTTCTGAAGAAATCCAGAATGTTCAGTTTCTCCTAAGGACTATGCCAGTTTGGCTATTCTGGAGGAGGGCTGATACTTTTATGGAAGTTCATCTTTTAAAGCAGAAGGGATCTTTCAAACTAGAGTCTATAGAGTTTGAAAACTGCCCGAGGAAGTGGGAAGTCCCTTTTATCTGTAAGGTTAATTATTTCTTTCAATAGAATTAAAAAGTTGCATTCTTTTTTTTTCTGTAGCCCTCTTAATGGGCCAAGATAGTAGAGAGCACATTATAAGTTGTTTTTAAATGCCTCTGGGAAGGCAGTTGGAAGAAATGTGCTACTGCAGATTTTTCTTGCCAATCGGGAATCAGGCTAATTATTTCCATCCATTCTGTCTGATTCATTGGGTGACTCTCTACAATACCAAAAGGATCTGTTATTTTTGTCTTTTCAGATTAACAGACAAGCTTTCATGCACTACAGCTCACATCTGATGCAACTCACAAAAGCTAATGCTTTGTTGTAAAATTTGCCAGTCTGCAAAGATAGTACCAGGCTTTCTCTGATTGTTGGCTCCCATGTCTCTCCACCTACCTTGTTATCCTTGTGTGAATAAAACATTCAAGAACACATCCTAAGGACGAGTTTCTTTGGTCTTAAGAAAGTAGATCTCTTTTACTTGTGGTTAGATAGTCACTTATCTCTCCTTCCGTTGGGATCCTCAGTTTCAGAATAGCCTTATCTTAGCTCTTGGGACAGAATTGGAGGTAGGTGCTACTAGTACTTTCATATGGAAAAAGAGATTTAAAACGGGACTTTTCACTTTGGAAGAATTAGAAGTTAGAATCCATGGTTGGATGGCTAAAATGGAAACAAATATTCATAGAAAAACACCAATCTTTCCTTTTATTTTTATATTTTTCAAAAGCATTAATATTAGCACTCATTAATACCATAATAATTCTCAGACAACGTTGTATATCAAAACTTCAATACATTTCAGATGCAAGCATTTCTGTGCAAGCATCTTAAAATGAGCTGTCCCACTTTGCCGGAAGCAACACACTGCTCTTCTAAAAACTCTAGAAGTATTTAAATGAGAAATATTGGATTCAGAATGCTTCTGGGATTAATGAAAAAGTTGCAACACTGAGCTGGATTGGAATAGTTTTCAAACCTAGAAATTTTACATTCAAATCATTATGCAGATCATAATAGTATATCAATTTTTGCCTAATTTTTGACTTAAATTGTTTTACTTACATGTTTATTTCTCATCACTGTTGGAAGACCTGTGGTTGATTAAGAATCAGCAATAACTTGATGGCACATAATTATTGCAAATCAAATTTATAAATAATATAAGTGTGTGAATTTGTTTTACTAAGCAGATTTTTTTATGACAGGTTTGCATTTGTTACATGATAGCAGGATATAGTTTTTATTGTTTCTTGTTATCTTGCTGTTAATTTTGGGCTTCTATTTAACTAATTTTATGAAAATGTACAGTTTCTTGATACTTTTTAAATTGTTTTATCTTAAAGTGAGCAGTGAGGATTCAAGTAATTCAGAAGCCAATGAATCTGGAATTAGTGAAGAAGTGAGTGAATCTGAAGACGATCAACGTCCTAGAACCAGGTAGCATTTTTTTTGATGGGATGTCCTAGGTCATATTTTATTAGCGTTAATAATTTTGCAGGAAAATCTCTGCAGAAATCTGTAGTGATAAAAACTACAAAGCACTTCCCAACCCAGAAATTTTATTTCCAGTTTTTTTAAAAAATCTTGCTTTAGCCATTAAAACCTGAATGCCAAATTCAGATTTATAATGCTGCTTCTTAAAAAGACAGAAACAAAACCCTATTTACTATCTGGAATGCTTTGGAATTATCATGTTTTTTTTTTCTACAAATCCAGTTCCCTAAAATCCAGGTACGTTTGCCTTTTTTTTTTTTTAATTAAAAAAGATAAGCATCCAGTCTACTTCTGTAGATTTTGCCTGGTTTCACACGTAACACAGAGCATGGAACCAATGTGGTTTGTTTCATTTCTGGCTTGAGATATTGTAATATGGTTTGTAAATCATGCTTTATGCTAGTTATGCAAACCCGCCAATAAAATACTATTCAGTAAGCCACTATTAAAGTATAACTTAATGCAATGTAAAAATCCCCTAACTGCACTCCTTCATTCTAAAATCTTAATGCAGAAGAAACAAGTTAACTGAATCATAAATAAAGAGGAGGAAACTGCAGCTACATTTTCTTAAGTAGTTCAGATTGAAAAATGTATATAAAATCTTGGAGGAAAATAAGAAAAAAAAACAGTGGTCAGTATAGTTAGCCAAGAATAATCTTTTTAGAACAGTACCCCTTCATTTTTTAGATCCGCTAAGAAAGCAGAAATAGAAGAAAATCAGAGGAGTTACAAACAGAAGAAGAAAAGGAGACGCATAAAAGTCCAGGAAGACTCATCTAGTGAAAATAACAAGGTTAGACCAGCATTTTTTTTTGTTTTGTTTTTGTCTTTAAATCTGCATGATTTTAAAAATCTTTTACAAATAACCTTCCCAACTACAATGAGATATTTTTGAAACTAAAGAAACTTTCCAAACAAGTTTGATATGGCAACTGTCAGCCTTGCAAGATAGTACAGACAGGAAGCATGCCCAGATGAATGAAATATACTTTATTGTAAGCTTATATTAATAGCATCTTGCAAGTCTGAAAATAACATTTCTCCCCCATCACCTTTACTGCTCAAGAAATAGGGAGGGGTCGCGTCTGAGATGTTCCCCATATCCTTATTCCTTCTAGGGGCTAGGTTGCCACTGGCTGAGGGACTTCCCACTGTTCCCAAGGCCATTCCCACGTGCCATTCCATCATAAGGATAGATGTTCTAGTTCAATTCCAACTCAAGTATTGTGGCCAATTCTAGTTTTGAAAAGATTCATAAAACTGAGGACAGATTTAGAGAAGAATACAGTTGATTGGGGAAGTATAAATTAAGACCCCTGAGAAAGAGCAGCAAGGAGCTTAGTTTGGAGAAAAGGTGAGTGATGGGGAGATGATTGCATTCTTTAAAAGGAGACCAAATGTAATAGAATAAAGAGATTTAGTTTTTAAGAAGGTTATCTAAGAGAAAAACTCCCGGATTGTGTATCTTTTAAGTTAGGATGGACTTCCCTTCACTAGATATACTTAAGGGGCAACTGAATAATTATCAGTCAGAAATCTCAAAGGTGCTTTTTTTCCCCCCAAGAGGCAACTGGACTTTCTGGTTTTTCTTTAAAGACGTTTCACTTCTCATCCAAGAAGCTTCTTCAGCTCTGATTGAATGGTGGAGAATCCTGAGTCATTCAGTCAGAACTGAAATCATCTTGAATGGGGAGCGAAACGTCTTCAAGCAAAAACAAAGATAGTCCAGTTGCCTCTTGAAAAAGCACCTTTGGGACAACCATGAACTGGATGACTGAGAATCTCCATTAGTCATTAGTCAGGAATGCTTAAATTTGGACACAAGGGCTAAATGGCCCCTTCCAGTTCTGAGGTTCTGTGTCCTAAACGTAGAGTAAGCTTTTATATCATACAAAGCAACTGTTATATCCTACCGTCTGATATCAGCATAATCATTTTCAATAGCTTTACTTTGGATTGGACAGATTATTCCAAATTCACACCAAATCCCACTTCATTGTGTGACAGTCATGGCATTTTTAAAATTAAATTTAAAAATTTGCACCTATTGTTGTTGTTTTACTTTGCTCTTGTGTGATCTATAATACAGTAAAGGGCTGTGGAAATATAGGAAATCTATATATAGAAGCAATATAATGGAAAGGAAATAGAAATTTAGTCCTTGAGATCTCAATTTATACACATGGGAAATGCTTACTGTACTATCTCAATGCAAGTGATACCCTCTACGCTCCGCCTGCCATAAATACAAAAGGTGCATTATGCAGTTTGGTTAGCCAGTCTTAGTATTTGGAATTATTAAACAATAAAAGGCAATAACAGTAAATTATTTATCTTGTTGAAAGAGTGTTTTGTGTTTTATTTGAAATCATGATTAAGAATATATCTTTCTGGAACTTTTACAGAGTAATACTGAAGATGACGATAATGATGATTCTAAATCTCCCGGAAAAGGCAGGAAAAAAATAAGGAAGATTATTAAAGATGATAAACTCAGAAGAGAAACACAAAATGCATTGAAAGAAGAAGAGGAGAGACGAAAACGGATTGCAGAAAGGGAACGTGAAAGGGAGAAGCTCAGAGAAGTATTTATATTTGTTTAATTGGGATATTACCAGGATTTTTCAAACAAGTATTTTGAGGAAAAACAAAACTATTAAATTGCTAAAAGAGAATTGTAATAGAAATTATATTTGATAATCAGTGCTTTGTTTCATGTAATTTTACTGTTGAAAGCATTTTTCTTGAACACAATTAAGTGTTTTTATTGCAAAAGTACTTGGCAAGGTGTTTGAAAATAGAATTGCTTTTCTTTTCTTTTTTCCCCCAAAAGTTTTTTATTTTTAATCTTTTACATCTCTTTTACTGAACAGTGTGATTCTAGGTTTTTACTTTTCCATACAAACATGACCGTAATTACATATCTATCTCACATATTCAGTTTCGTATCATATCATTGCATTTTCCATTTTCTATAAATTTTCAAAAATATTCTTATATTTTTTGCTTTTATTTTATCCAATTTTAATTCATATAATTCTATTTTTCTTTAATTATACTCTTATCTTCTTTATATAATATCTTAAAATTCTTTATTTCTTATTCTATATTCACTATATTCTTATTCTGTATTCACTATATTCTTGTACTTTTATCTGTCATATTTGCAATTTCATCACATATTCTTATTTCATTATTCAATAAATTCCATCTTAATATTAATAATTCCAAAGATTTCCTCCTTAATTACCCATTTGAGTTTTTGTCTTATACATCATTCAATTGACTCCCCTTTAACTCATATTAAAAATTACCATAATATAATCATTTTTAGTTATCATCTAAATATTACATATCACATATACATTTTAGATTAGATTCTACATGGTATTCTTTTCTTTATTCTAAAACATTTATTTATTTTTCTAATACATTAATCTTTTCAGCTAATTGAAGAAACTGATATTTGTCTTTTTAGTACAATTCTCATAGTTCATTTTAACTATATTTTTAATTTCATTTAATGTAATTGACATTCTTATTATAATCCCATCTTTACATATATCCCAGTTAATTTAACAATGATTCTTAGAAAATAATCAAATAAAAAAATCTTCCTGTATTTCCCCTTTCTGCTGTTTCCTTTCTCTTTGTTTGACTTTCCAAACAATTACTTTTTTAATTGTCCCCTCAGACCTCCAAGTTTTAATTTCCATGCTCCCCCCCCCCCATTTCAATGTTCATTGTGTCATTTATTCATTGAGGCTGGCCTCTTCTTTAATCAACTCCTCCCCTTCTGGTTCTCCTTGTCTGTCTTTGTTCTCCAGCGACGCCATTTCTAGCATTTGTAAGGCAATACTGCACAATTCCACTTTTCCCCATATCATTTTCCTTATACTTAAGTCCGATTTTATTTCCAGATAGTATTCTGCCATTTTTGTGCACCTCTTTTAATTTTAATTTTTCTTTTACCTCTTTCTTCAATGTTTAAATCCAGACCAGTTATCCAGTAGTTAATTTAATCCAGCTTCTGTTAAGTCTTATTTCAAGTTTCCAGGGTCAAAATAGTCGAATGTTCATATATTTTGTTGTTAAATTCTTTCTGTTGAGTTTTAAATTTTCCTCAAGGTCACCTAGTATTCCCAGGGTTCAGACTTCTTTCTTCTTCCTTCATAATATAGTAACTCACTTTTCAGGGTTTCTTTCTTATTGTTTCAAAGATCCTCTTACTTTGTATCAAGTTCCACTCTTTATAGAACCAAACACTTTTCTAAAAAGTCATTGAAAGTTTTCCTTTACCATTAAGTGGCGCTCTCTGTCTCAAGTTCCACCTTTTCTTTTCCACTTTCCTTTTCCCTTTTAGAGCGTTTAAATTTAAAAAATCCAGTAAATCCAATTATTGTATATTTTTTCCTTTTAGTACATTCAAATTCAGCTTTTAAGTATGCCTATTTAGTGCCAATTGTATAATTTAGTATAATCCAATTTACACAGATGTTTCTCTCTTTCGATTTACTTCTTTTACTGTTCACAGCACTTTCACTTGTCTCCTATTTTCTTTTTTCCACTCCCTCTAGTCGCCGCTGTTCCAGTCTTTTTTTTTTTTAAAGTCTCTTTAAATTTTTAAATCTGGGATATCTTGTATTGAGATATTGTGCTTAATTTGCCTGGTCTCCACACTGTCTGCTTTTTCACTGCTCCTGCATGAACTTTGTCCTGGGTAGCTCTCCTTCAGGGTGGCCAGGCGGGGAGTTTACCCAGCCAAAGAGGGGAGATGTGGCTCCCCTTGACCTGACAGGCAGTCTCCCTCTTCTTCCCCACCCCTTCAAGGTGGTTCTAGCCCCATTCAGAGCCCTCTAACAGGTACAACACGGATTGAGCTGATCACGATCTTCGGTCTGTCCTTGAAGGAAATGCAACCGGAAGTCAGAATTGCTTTTCTTAAATTGACATATAAGACATATATGCAGAATCCTGATTTTCTCTTATCAGATGTATTCATTTGAGATTCTTGTCCTGCTTTAATATTTTAATACTTACGTTTTGCTTTTTTTTTTTAACATAGTTTTAACAGCAGTAAATTGTCTTGACTATTGTAGTTGGAAAGAAAGGCAAAGTGCACATTTCAAAAACCTCTGGCTGGATTTAGCTGAAAGCATGTAGATAATTATCCTGAGTTAAAACCTTTTAAAGGCTTTTTATACCATTGGATTTACATGAGGATTACTGTCAGGACTGGAGGTTAAAACATATGAAGAATGGTTACAGGAACTGGGCATGGCTAGTCTAATGAAGAGAAGCACCAGGGGAGACAGGAGAGCAGTCCTCCAATACTTGGGCTACCACAGAGAGGAAGAAGGGGTCAAGTTGTTTTCCAAGGAAACTGAACGCCAGACAAGGAATAATGGATGGAAACAAGGAGAGATTCAACCTAGAAATAAAAGAAACTTTCTGACAGTGAGAACAATCCACCAGTAGAACAGAAGTTGCCCTCGGAAGTTGTGGGAGCTCCATCACTTGAGACTTTCAAGAAGACATTGGACTGCCATTTGTCAGAAATGGTGTAGGGTCCCCCACTTGGGCAGGGGGTTGGACTAGATGACCTACAAGGTCCCTTCCAACTCTGATTATCTGTTCAGTTAGTAACATCTCTACACCTGTGGATTGGCTGAATCCACATTGGACTGGAGGGAGGGGTTTCTAATGTCTTATTTCTAACTGTATTGCCAGGGCGGGGGGAGGGATTTAGAGTCTGCTTTGCTTTTGTTCTGCTCAACAAAAGGTTCCTTTTGAAATACAAGTTTCAGGAGTTTTTACTTTCTTGAGTGAGAAGGAGAGGCAGGACCTTACATAAAGCAGACTCAGCAAAAGTGGTCAACCTGGAGAAGCAAAACTTGGCTCTATGGTGGGGACCCTGCAAACTATGTCCGAACAATGCAGTCAACAGGGGGAAGCTGAATGCTGGGGAAAACTTGTACCACCACCCAGCCCGAGGCCTGCTCCCTGTACCCCATGGGAGATGTTGAGACGACCTGGAAGATCCTGAAAAGACTTGCTGGTCAATTGGGATCATGAAGAAAGATAGTTCGGGCGGAAGAACCAGAGGCATCACCCTCACCTAGGGCAGTCAAAAACCAGGGTGGAAGCTGGAGTTGGAAGCCCTCTCCGACCATGAGGAACTGGCCGAAGAACCGCTGAGGGAGGACCGATTGAAGAGCCACATCACGCAGCTGGTAATGGCGACTCTGGAAAATCTCTACATCCAAGGGGAACTGGACTGGCAACAAAGTGATCAAAAAGAAAGGAATTTTATGAGCAATCCTTGCATTTACAACTTCAAAGGAACCATAAGCACAGTCCTGGTTCCAGTTAACAAGCACTTCACTTTATGACTGAGTTACTGGCCCTAACTGTCATCACTAAATGAGGATTACCTGTAATTTGAAGCATTCAGAAAAGTTATAAAACGTGGCAGTGCACATTAGATTTCTTAATTAGATTAATAACATGCTAGCATATTTGCTACAAGCAACAACCTTAATTGGGACTGGCAACTTTGTTGATAAGCATTTTGTACATTAAGTGAAACATCAGGTGACCAATCCAGACTTGGTTCTGCTGCAGTTGCTACGTGAATCATCTGTGGTCTTTAAGGGAGATATCACATGAACATGACTTGTAATTTTACTGCCAGTTTCTCCATTGACTTTGCTTATTGGAAGCCAGCTGTGAATTTCACAAATGTGCTATGTCATAAATGTGTGCCAGCTGGATAGCTGTAATTCTGTTGGAATTAAATCTCCTGTCCCCGCGTAGCATCTATCTATCTATCTATCTATCTATCTATCTATCTATCTATCTATCTATCATCTATCTATCTATCTATCTATCTATCTATCCATCCATCCATCCATCCATCCATCCATCCATCCATCCATCCATC